AGACTTTGTATGCCAAATTCACAGAAATGAGAGGGACAAAAGACGTTCGACCCATTTTAATACACTTAGGTTGTAAGTATCTTACATCCAGATACCATCGTTATCAAACACAAAACACTACCTGTTATTTTGGTTTATCTACTATAAATCAGCTTAAAAGTTAATAATTTATCTTAAAACAAGGCGGGACCTATATTAAGGTTTAGTATGTGCTAAAAAATAAAAAACATTAATAACTGAGACTGTAAATACAATTAAAAATATATCTAAATAAATTGATTAAAACTATCTTACATTTAGTTTGTTAGAGGTCTATCCTAGATGCGCAGTCATTGATTTCTTATTTATATAGGAATACTAACCTTAATATGTCATAATTTAAATTGTTTAATTATTTTAGTATACGTAAATACCTTAAGATCATTAGGGTCTCTGAACCATACCAATTCCTCCGAACTCTGCATTTAATATTTTTTTTAATGATTTTCTTTGTTTCTTGTTATTATTTGATTGCTTGATATTAGGTAATATGATAGTTTCTTAAAGGTTTATATCTTCGGTATTTGTATCTTCGATTACACCTGTGTCATGTTTGATCTTGTTTTCTTTACCATACTGTTATGAACACACACATTTTTTTTAATGTTCTTTTTCACACATGCTGATGCTTGTATTGCATCGTATTTACGCAGAAATGCATGATATATGTATGTAAAACGATAATAATAAAATGTGCGCGATTCTCTATGCAAATATCAAGGAATTCATCATAGATTTCATTAGGCGACCATTATTATTCCGATTTCAACGGCTGTCGAACCACCAGTATTATTTATTTGCTTCCCCAGGCCATAATTTTTTACCATTCAACTCATTTGAATCGTCAAAACCATTTTGAATACCAGTTTCAAATATTTTTAGACAGATTTTCGATGAAAATAAAAACGTACATGAAAAACAGTCATGCGGGTAAATAATAAATAGCCAAATTGGTGGCTACCGTTTTTTCCAATTTAATGTTTTCTTCGTTTTCAACCAGTCCGAACCAGCCATTTTGCAGGAACTGCTTTGAGCCGTTTCACACTTTGATGCATCACTGTGCATCGCTTGCATTTCTATAACATCTATACAATACGCTTTGTGTTTTAAGTATGGGCTCGTTATTTTTTTCCATCGGTTTGGCTGGATCGATTGATAAATGTTTATATATGCGTACACTTCTCTTATAACTCTTAAAAAAAACCTCCGTAGAAGTCTACTACCCATGATCTAAATAGCCTCGCTATAACTGATCGGTACCGAAATACTAAAAGTGGATAACATACCCGTAGGAATTGCCTCCTCTGTCGTTCCATGAGCCGCCGCCACCGCCGCCGCTGCCACCAGAACCACGATGACCGGAACCGGAATCATAACCTTAAACATAAATGTGTTGATATTGGTGTGTGATTCGCAACATGGAGTTCACATGCACGCCTTACCACCGCCTTGTTTGCCGTAGTTTGGAGGTGGTTCGTTGTAGTTACCCGTTTTATTTGGCATTTGTTGGTAGTTTGGTGGGGGGACAGCGAAATTATTATAACCCTGTCCGGCACCACCACCATAACCGCCACCTAGAGTGCACATATTTCAGTGTTTTCAGTGTATTCACGGTGCGACTTGTGCGCGTTTAAAACTCTACTTACGCTCCATGACCAATAAACGGTGTGTGCAGTCTCTTTTCAACTAATATATTTGCAGGAGTTTCAATAACTTGCTGCGCACAAACTGCTTGAATGGAATAAAGCGTCAGATCGTTACAAATTTTATTGTAAAATGGCGTGTGAAAAATATTTAGAGATGTGCGTCGACGTAAGCTAGTATATGCGTGTATCGTAGCGCCTATCGAAAGAGGTATCGATGCTTCGGAATGTGTGGGATGGAACATAAATATGCAATATATCTTATTTTAGGGAAACGGTGTTAGTTAAAAAAAAATTTAATTTAATATATTAGATTAATATAATTTGGATTCAAATTGACTGAATGCAGTAGTTATTTAATATTTGATCGACCCTTTGATCGCTTTACAACACTGAAACGCTTGCAGCCCTGCAAACATTGTTTACATTCGTTAGCACTTAACTTTGAATGAAAGTGTCAATCAGCTGTTCGTGCTTTGAAATTAAATTGGTGTTTACGTGGATTTAATTTTTCTGAAATCACACTAACACAGAGCCAAACAGAAAATGATCGAAATAACAGATCTGCAGAGTAAGTAGCCATTGATATGTTAAAGCCATCAGCACAACTAAATCGCTTATTGGAATCCTCCCGCAGAAATTGGCATCGGCTTGGCTGGTTTTGGCATTTCTTTTCTGTTTCTCGGCATGCTGCTGCTGTTCGATAAAGGCCTGCTCGCCATCGGCAATGTACGTTCCTCATGCACCTATACCCTATATAGCACACCCTTCGAGCTCTATAATAATAGCCATCGCCTCTTTCCCGCAGATTCTATTCATATCGGGCCTCGGCTGTGTCATTGGCGTGGAGCGCACCCTGCGCTTTTTCTTCCAACGGCACAAAGTCAAAGGCACAACAGCCTTCTTCGGGGGAATCGTCATCGTCCTACTGGGATTCCCCATCATCGGCATGATTATTGAATCCTATGGATTTTTCGCACTGTTCAGGTTCGTAGCACTCTGGCCAAGTCTCAATTCGATTTGTCTGAAGTAATTTAAGCGGGGCTAACCGGTTACATATTCCACATGGTCTACTCTCTTTCCCACTGTTAATATTTCCATTCTAGAGTCAGGGCTTAGCAATCGTAGCAATTCTAGCAACTACGTTAGAGAAATGTAATATTTTAATTGAAAAACTGCAAGTCATATTTCTACTCTACGCTTTTCATAGGAAACAGAAAATACCAAGTTCAATTCTTCAAATTTCCTTAGAGAATAAGCTCAGACCGATATAAAGCAGAAATGATGTCTTTGATTGAAATTATTCGCTGTTTCTACCGTTTTTTCTATATATATGTTTCCTTTGTACATATGTATATCTCTCTCTCTCTCTTTTTACTTTTTTCATGCCAAGATTTTAAATAAACTACGCCCCATGAGGAACAACTACCGTTTAAATACCATTCTAATGAATGTTATTTAATGAAAGATCAGCTTCTGATATATCTTAATAATCAAAGGAAATCTATTCAAAGTAGGGCAAATATTCAGTGAATATTATAAATACTTAACTTCAAAACGTAAAAGATGGCAATACAAGTGGAAGTCACTTCTTTCAAAGAGTTGTATTTTACTTTTCAGCCCATATTTATGGCGAAACCCTTGACACTTCTTCTAAATGTCTTTTTTTTTCAGCGGTTTCTTCCCCGTGGCCATTAATTTCCTGGGCCGAGTGCCTGTTTTAGGATCGCTGTTAAATTTACCATTTATGCAAAAGGTAAGGTAGCATGGAGCCTCACATAACAAAAATATAACATAGCAAATAGCCCATGATCATTTAACGAGCTCATCTCGCATTGACGCGAAAGCCCATTGAATAAACGGAAGGGTCCACATTCCCAAACGACCACGCAGACTGGATTTCATAGCCAATTTTGGTATTTCTCTAAGCTATGTATTTCAACATTTACAAGTCCAAAGTAGAGGGATTTAGTGGCGCGTTTAGTGGATCTTTTCCCAGTCCTCACGCTCTTCGCGCTCCTTCACGACCTCATTAAGGTAGGGTTCCAGATACTTGACGTCCTCCTCGTACTTGGTCCACTGCTCCTTGGGCAGGATGGTCTTGGTCATGGACAGATGGAGGGCCCTCATGATGCGGTAGTTGCGCTCATCGTACAGCTTCCTGGGCAATCGGCGCACGGCCTCCTTGACATCCTCGTTCTCATACAGACAATCATCCCGATGCAGACCTGCAGAAATCGGTAACACCAAGCTCAGCTGTTAGAAATCACTAGGTTATATAGCAGTCCTACCGTATTGGTTGAATCCGGAGAGATTGTAGGCCCATCTGCCCAGATTTGCTGTGGGGAAAAATTCGCATTACATATTTACGTAATCATAATATTCCGGGGTACTGCGTAACGGATTTCTGGCATTCAACGTGTGTCCGATTGTTACCCGCTCATAATACTTACAGAAAACTGCGGGTCCCTTTCTGGCAATATAGCTCGACATGGTTTACGTAAAATTAGAAGTCGGGAATGAGATATTCCTCCAGCCTTTTTATTTTAGGTATGAGAACGTTGGAGATGGGTTTCGCGATAGTTATCGCACCCAGTATCGATCAACGTGCACTATGGTTGTGTTTGCAGAAATCGATTTTCGAAATGTACTACAGACACATTGCCGTGCGTTATCGATATATCGCATTAAAGAAATGCGTTAAAAAAAACAATTTTTTTTTTAAATTTGAACTATATTTACTTGCAGATTAAACCAAAATGTCTTTTAACGCTTTACCTCTTGTATTTATGCAGATTGTTCAAAAACTTGGAGGAGACGGCAACCGAACTACAGTATAATTACATCTCCAAAGTTGACCATTTTGCAAAGACTTTTTGTATAAAGTAAATAAAATCAATTTAAATTCTTGTAAACCCATTTAAGTCCATGTAAAAATCCGCCTTCATAAACAAAATACTTGTAGTTATCAAACCGAAATATTATGGCTTTCTTTTCATGTAATTTATTATGGGAAACTGTCTGGAAATATTTTTAATTTGGGCTTTACTATTTATTTTAACAAATATCCTTGATTAAATTAATGATAAAAATGATTTAAAGACACAACTTGTACTTAACTTGTAAAATGACGGACCTCAATATATCGAAAATAAGCCAAAACTTAAAGTTTGATTACAAAAAAGACAGAAATGTTGATAATTAGCGGAGCGCTTCACGAAGCGGAAATCCCTACTTCTCATTTTAATATTATTTCCCGAATTTTTTTGCGATAAGCTCCCGCCATTGCTAAACCCTTCATTAAAATGATTGATAGTGTTTTTATTTTAAAGTACATACCTTCGCTTTATTATGACTACAAAATATCAATTTATACAAATTAAAGAACATATACAAATTCTTTATATATACAGTGCCCTCCCTTAAGAGTGAACACTCGAATATGTGAACTTTTAGTAAAAGTGAACGATTATTTTATAAAACTTTAGAAACTTTCTTTTAACTTAGTAAAAAAAAATCAAATGTTGTGTTTTCGAAAACATGGTGTTTTTAAAAATATGTTAAATTTTATATTTCTGTGATTCGTTATAGTGAACAAATTCGATTCAGTGCACACCCTTGGTTCTTAATAGTCCACTGTTTCGAGTGAGCACTGTACATACACTAAGGCTGGCACGAACACGACACTAATTTAAGTTTGTTTCGGTTTTGTTTCTGATTTCTGAACACACGTTATATATATACATATGTATAACATTGAGACCCGTTCCAGCCTTAGTTTTTACATATATCACTGGGCACATAATTCAGTAGCTCCCAATGCGCTGAGTGGCCGGGAGAGCGAAATCACTTATTGTTCTTAGCTGCAGTCAATGACAAAAACTCCACCTTTCGAGCCAAGTACTCATTATAGCGAAGAAATGCATAGCTATATGGGACGAAAGAAATTGCTGGTATTATTAGTATCGGTTGGTAAAGGTGTTAATTGGGGGAGAACAGGAAATGCAGGGTGCACTATAATAAGTCCATAAGAATGGTCCATAATAAAGCTGATACATATATTGTATATACATATGTATAAAGTATATATATTTACAATATATTGCATTCCCAATTTCAAGTTATAGTATATATAATATGCAATACGCACCCTACGTAGTCGAAATCGATAGTGGAATGCTCGGCTTGCAACAGGGACCACACCGTCCAAAAGATATGCGATGCCAGCGCAAACTGATTAACCTGGACATAGAGCAGTTCGACTTCGTCGTTCTGAATGTGGCTGCGCTGAAGGTACTCCTCAAGATAGACCCTCAGCCACTGGAGCTGGAACTCGCGCTTCGGGTAGCGGGAGTAGTCGACCTCATCCACGCCGCACATCTCCGCAAAGTGGTTGCCAATGTCGAAGGCCTGGAAATTGTAATCGGCATACTCGTAGTCGATGAAGTTCACCGTATTCAGGCTCTGCGTGTAGATCACATTTCCCAGCAGAAGGTCGTTGTGGGAGAAGACAATCGGACTGTCCAGAGCCTCGAGGTATTCATACAGCTTGTTGAACTCCTCGCGCAGGCGGCCGATAGGTAGAAACGTTTCTTTCACTCTGCAATCACAGTGGTAAGCCGGGCAATGAAACAATGAGCGAATGAATAAAGAGTCGAAGGATCAAATGTCATACCTTTTGTGTTTTTCAGCATCACTAAAACGTTCAGGTACTAAATCAAGAAAGCTCTGCGTCTTCTTCCAAATCATCGGCATCGGCTTGGTCGCCGAACTATCCCCGTGCTTTCTCACCTTGCGATGCATCTCGGCCATGCGACGGGCGACCAAGGGCCAAATCTCTGGACAGAGCACACTGTCCGTATTCAGGGTGGTTCCAGGTACGTATTCGTAGACGAGACCGTTCTTGAACGTGGCATACAGCGATGGCGCTAGCCCATACCTATGCAGTAGAAGAAAGTTTTGCGTCTCCGCCTTGCGATCTATCAGTAGGTCCGTTTTGTTTCCGTATATCCTGACCAGCACTACGTTATCGGAGTACTGTACAGGTGAGCCGTCGTCCACTGCCCGATCGTCTGTGTACTCATCATCGTCCTTCTCGATGATGACTGGATCCTCGGACTGAACCGGCGACAGACCCTGGGTCTTGATAGGTAGATACGATCCGCCGTTCTCATCGCTCAATTTGGAGATCTCCTTATGAAAACATCCGACCAGTTTGTTTGTGATGCCATCGGTAAAACTCTAAAATAAGCAACAGAACAACACTATTAAATCGTGTACATACGCATCTGGATCAAGTGAATGGGTTAGAATTAATTACTAGTCAGTGGAAGCTACGTGATTTGTGTGCTTTAATTATGTACGTGAAGTTATTGCATCACCTAATACCAATTGCTACATGGAAGTGTTCATTAGTAGCATTGAATGGAACGGTTTCGGGAATTCGCTCCTTAAGCCGCAGCTCAAGAGCTTCAGGAAAGGGCTTAAGGCACCTTCCTTATCGACTCCACATGCTTCTTATGTACGTATATAGAAGGGAGGAGCACATGGGTGATAAACTTTGTGACACCAGCTATTTGCGTGCTAAGCGCTAGAGAAAGACCACCTTCGTCTTGAAATATACACATATGGTGCTTTTTATAGTGAAAACACAGAAACAGATAAGATAATGGAATGCTAAACAATTTAAATTCATTATATTCAAAGGGAGAAGCCCACAATGTGTAGGCGAAGGAAATAGTAATTAGTTCATTTCAATCACTTCCATTTAAGAACACTATTGGTTTTAGTCATTTTTTGGAAAAGTTTATTGAACAAGTAATCAATATTTTTCTCTTATTTTCGTTTACTCAGTGCTTAATGCACTTAAGATTAAAGTAGTACTGTATAAACACGTGTGTTTCAGATCGCTGCGATATTGTAAACTTTCCACGTAGTATATGGACATTAATTACATACGTTGTCAATAAGCTTTACAGGTCTAGTAGCTATTAAAGTGTCAATAATTTTATATATACATTTGACAGTTGTGAGGCATAAATACACGCGGGACTTAAGTGGAACTCAAACGTTTTGTTTACTGCTGAGACACTGTGCCTATGACGCCATAGTCCATGAATCAACGCAGTTTTCCTCTTGTGACCAAGTATTTATAATGTAGTTTTTATTGTATATATTAATGACGATATGGAAATCGCCTGACTGGCGCCAAAGCTTTGCGACTCCACAAGGATGCTTCCCCTACTTGAATACTTTTCACTCGACAAAAAGCGGCTACTAAAGTATCTATAGCTTGAAAACGGGCATGACATGATTTAGACTATGTACCATGTACTATGCACTAGTCACTGATCAACGGATGAACCACGTTTTATAGCCCACCAGCGATTTGGCTAGTCTCAGCACTTGGCAATCCGACTGGAATTACTGCCATAAAGCTGATAAGTAAGTTACGGACAAGCTGTGTACACCAATTAGACGTCATGCTTATGGTACGGCGTATACAGATAGCGAGGTCAAGTAGTACAAGTGGGTTCCGATAAGGCAAGAATGCCCCATTTCGAAACCGGAGTGATTAAAGCAGCCTCAGGCATTTGTACATCATACTCCTCTAACTCGACTGCGTACCATAATCAAATCGGGGCAAATAAAATCAAGCCCCTAAAAAACGACTGAAAAACTAACTAGTACTTGTTTTCGTACTGCACGGCTATCGGTTTTTTGGATCATCCGTACATTACGGACTGACGGAGGGACGGACGGTAATGGTTATCTGTAAAAACACTCGAGTCAATGCACCTGTTTTCGACACCTTCTATGACAGCTTATAAAGTATTGTAGTATTGTAGGGAACGTGCGATTTCATTAGTACCAGCGACTAATTGGCACGAAGGCCTATTTCTGGGCTCACACCTTCTACCCGGCTCCGTTTTGTAGGGAAAACTTATTATTTTTCCCCGGAGTCGAGGGCGAGATTAGCAAACTGGTTTCTACTGCGACTCGAGTTCTGAAGTCTCAGTAGTTCACTTGGAGACTCAGAAGCTCTCGCTGTCCTAACACACCAACACCAGCGTAATAAATAATGTTAATTTCGAATAACAATCCTATGGGTCTCCCCCCATTGATATAACAACGACTATTTACAATTATCAAGGCGGCAGCGAGTACGTTGTTCTGTATATATATTATATAATTACTAATGGGAGTTTGGTGGTTGTGCAATAACCCTGTTTCAAACAATGTTAGCAACTAATACGACTATATATCTATATATTTGTATATATCCCACGTTCCGCACACCAGTTAGTGATCGTAATAAATGATAAGGAAACATACAGCGTCGTCATCACCATCGTATTTTGGTCCGGATAACGATCTTCGATCTGCGAACTACCCTGATCTAATGGAGAATGTAGAGAATATGACATTGATGGTTTCGTTTTTGCATTGTATAGTGTTTTGCATTGAATGTGATTTGATTTGTTTGGGATTATGATATTGTTGGGGGTAAGGTTATTTTGAAGGTTGATGAGGTTTACGTTACCTTAAACTCGACGTGGCTGAGGTCCCAGGTCGGTCGAATAACCTTCAACAGTTCCTTGGCCCCTTGAATCACGTCGGCCTCCTCAACAAATATGGGGACAAAGGGTACAATCGCCTCTTTTCTGGATTTATCCTCCTGTTTGGCTCGAATATCACGCGTATTATGTTCGTCCTCGTTTTCGTTTTCGTTTTTGTTTTCGCTCTCGCTTGGCTTTGGATACGAATTGGAATTCGAATGTGAATTCAATTGGTTCTGGACCTGGTTCGATTGCGATAGCGTTTGCTGGTTGACCGTCTGACGAACTAAGGATAAAGAATCTTTCATCACTTTGGGGTTGCCGCCACTTGTTGAAATCTGTCCTGTGTAACTGTTGCTCTTGGTTTCTGTGCCCATTCTATTGTATTATATATGTGAAATACGAAAGTGTCAGGTCGGGTCATACACATAGAACGACAATAACAACAGCATGTAAAATGAGTAGGTAGCGTTAGTTAAAAGCTAATCATCCGAATGCAAAACCAACCGAGAACCCAACCAAACCAGCAGAATATCCCCCAAAGACCGACAGTCAAATGAGCCACAAAACCCTCGACCAGTAAGTCGATATAATATACTACGCCCATGTCCTCTCACTCATGCGCACCGAAACCAGAGTTTTGGATGGAGAAGACCGCACCCAGTTAGTAGGATCTGCGTATCATGTGGGAAATACCGCAAATACCTCCACTTCATTCAAGTGAAACTTGCATTCTTTTGGGTGGAATCAAATTTGTAAAGCTAACATTAAAATTAATCTCAATAAACAACCGAATGGTCTGATTACCATTTTAAGGTTTATAAACAAAAGCTTTTGGGGATTAGATGACTATTTCTTAAATCATGATATGGATAATTTTAAAAATGATTACAAATATTTTTATTCCAAATATGCAAAGAAAATCTTATCACAATTGTATATACGATATAGAAGATTATACCAAAGTTAAGCAAAAACCTTATCTCTTAAGCAAAAAATAATCTACATAATGATCACACTTTTAGAGCGCCAAATGTGCAATTAACAATTATACGAGAAAATGTCCGCTAATTTGACAAGCAAATAATATATAGATATATTCCATAAAAAAATTGTTACGGAAAATAAACCTCGAAATTGTGATAGTCAATTCGTTAACTGGTTTTGGCTTGATACAGGAAGTTCCTAATTCCAGTAATTGATAAACATGCCCTCATTAAACACCATTATTCGCAATATAGATACACTTTAATCATTATGCAATGAAAGATGCGTTTGGCAAACTAATAACTTGTTAATAGTTAATAATAATACATAATGCAGTTCTAATTACAAATCCATGCAAGTGTATGATGTATGTATGTACATATGTATGATAGACGGTTTTTGATTACCATTCTTTTTTGACCTTATCGTTGACATTATCTACTGACTAGATCCATCATCTTGTCTTCATTTTCAACTATATCAGGAAAAGCTGATTTAAAAGTAAATGTTGTGTCCATTTGTGATAAAGAACTACGATGGTATAGGCCTTAAGAAAACATCTCGATGTATTACGATAGAATCAAGGTGGTAATACTGACACCGCGAGCAACTATTTACGCTAGATGTACTATTATTCTACCCCGCGCTGTAAATGTATTCGAATTCGGCACAGCCGGGCGGAAAGTACACGTAGCCGTGTGTACTCAAAATACACGAAGGTGCGTAAGGCGATGACTATAAATCGGAGAAGGTAACGAGACAACATACAAATATATGCATGGGATAAGGAAAGGGGGTCGAAATAAGTTAATAAGATCGCAGTGCTAAGCCAATGTCTTAAAATACAGGGGCGAAACGAAGGGGTGGCCAAGTTATTTATTTGGTCAAAGACATTTTGGAATCGGAATTCAATTATACCTAATTTGTTTACAATCGGAAGTCTTTGGGGGTGAAACCCCGAAATGACCCCCCTGACTCCGCTCCTGGAGCCAAGGAATGCACCAACACTCGCGCACAAATAATTAGGGCGTAAAATGCTAATCTTGTGAATATGTGAATGTACATAAATGTGTACATCCTCCATGCAAATCATGTGTTGAGCAATGCAAGTGTACATTATGTACATGCAAACGTATGTAAGATCGGAAATCAGGTGAAAAACCTGGGCGCAACAAGACAGGTGGGCGGGGGTACGTTAGCACGCGACATTTGCTTTAATATTAACATGTTTTCTGTTTCGCACTTTCTTTATTCTTTCATCTTTATTTTGGTTTTTTAGCCAGGCCAATAGTTTACGCATACAGTGGCAATGCATATATGTACATACAAGGGTACAACTGCATGTGTGTGCATAGTAGGTGGGATTAGGGCCCATCTGCACGGGCAAAGTTTCCGTTAGGACCTTTATATCCCTTAATACTTTTCGAATTCTGTAAACTAAAGTGTTATTTATGAGACTAAAATATAAATAAGCCAATATACACTATAATATACTTTTCCGATTACTTTATAGACCTCTTTTGAGTCTCAAAAGCGGAGATTCCAATCGGAATTTAGGTCGTGCAAAGGGGTCTTAAGCGCGTTCTGGGTTAAGAACCCCCCGCTCACGACCCCTCATCACGACGACCCCTCCCACAAACGGAGCATCCTTTTTCTGAACCCGGTGCGATATTTGTTGGTTGATTTAAAGGATTCCCATACCGATTTCGATTCCGATTCGGTGGTTCTGAATTCAGATAGTGATTCGATTTGATTTGATTCGTGTTTCGCATGCAATTTCAGTTTTGAAAACGACAAACAAGGTAAAATAATAATAAAATGTGTACCAATATGTCAAGCGTCAACGAATGCGAACGCACACTGAGGTGAATTGTTAGTTGTCTACACACGTTACCTTCGGGTATTGATTGTTTTTTAAAAGAAAACACAAAAAAAAAGCCGCGAAAATCACACAACCAGATTATTGATTTTGGCCCCCGCTGAAATTGGCGCACACAACACACAAATTTGATTGGGGAACGAACAGCGGGCGATGTAAACGATTCGGTTCCGACTTGGAATATATAGCTGCCGAACTATCGATGGAACAATCGGATCCGTCAACCGGTCGCTTCGTTCGCCGGGAATACCAAAACGCCTCGGTAAAGTGGCGCGCGAATGAGGGGTTTTGCGATTAGCCCGCAACTGGTCACACTGCACTGGCCGGCAAAAAGCTTTTCATGAAATTATCGCGTTTTAAGCGTTTTCCAATTATGAATAGATTTACTGGGGACTCTGAAGTAGCCGACTAGTTCATTTTTGATGGGAAAGCACAGAATTTCCCCTTTGCAGACAACTTTTCGGCAAGAACAGTGCTGCCAGACTATCGGACCGGCACTTTATTGGATTGCTTTTATCACAAATTTCCTTAGTTTGTCAACCTTGCAAAATATTTCAGGGCGTTCTATATAAACATTCTTTTTATATAGGTTTTCTCACAAAATTGCCTAAAGTCTGGTTCATATGGCGTTGCCAGACTGTCATTGCGTTTTTCAAAAGCCATTCACTAGAGCCCGCCACTTTTTTAAGTTGTAATTGAGTCCAAAGGGTTAATTTTTTTTGTTTTACATGTTTCTTAAGCAAATTCAGTACCATGTTTTTCTACTTTTATATACCCCACCTGCATAAATTTATACTTGTCAATTAATAAACTTGTTAAATGTATGATGTTTCGAAAACAAGACTGCAAAATATTACTCAAGCCCAGCAAAATCATACTAGTACACTGCATTTGTTTTGCAGAAAATTTGAATCTTTTCATGGTTTCTTAACACTATAACTTTTAACTTGCCCACAAGCCTTTCCTGAACAATCTTTAGCCCCAGATGCAAGGACAAAGTTCAAATACCCAACAGGAGCTCCGTATTAGGTATAATGACGCATGTATTTTATACAAATCAAATAGTTTCATACCGTTATACAGGGTTCCGAAGAATAGAAAGTGTTAATTAAAAAAAGTTTGAATTCGGTTCACCGAATCAAATTTGAAGCGTTTTCCAAGTCATATCAGGTCTGCAACAATGAGCAGACACAATGTGGGCGGCGATACCGTATGGTGTCGCCGGATACATTTGGAAAACAATTCAATACCAAGGCCTTCCATCGAAGAAGTATCCCAGCTGCTGGATGTTACTTCTTCTGTTTCTTCTTCTCGAGCTCCTCCTCCTTCTCCTTCTCGATGATTTTAACGTAATCAGCGATGACTTTGGTGTCCAGCATTTTCAGTGGCTTGCCGTTCTCCATGATGGCCAGCTCCAGATTGTTTTGGCCCGACTGCGCCACCTCGAGCAGGGCACGGATGGCCAGTTTGACTGCTCCGTGCTCGGTGGCCACATCCTCCTCGCGGTAGGCCTTCTCGAAGAACTCTCGCACAACCTTCGCCGACCGCCCGGTGGCGTTAGCCTTATACTCGTAGAAAATGCCCGACGGTTCGGTCTGGAACAGATGCGCAGAGCCATCGGCATCAAAGCCGCCAATAAGGCAGGATATACCGAAGGGACGGCGGCCATTGCTCTGCGTGTATTTTTGCTTCAGCTGGGCAATATATCTAAAATCAAAGGCGAAAAACCATATAAAAACCAATTTAGCGCGCAACTATTTCTTCTCACCTGGTTATGTACTCTAGGGTTACGGGATCCTCGACATTGAGTCGATGGCTCTGGCACTCCACCTGGGCACGATTTATCAGGATGCGAGCGTCGGCCGTGAGACCGGCAAAGGCCATCACAACGTGGTGGTCGAGCATACAAATCTTGCGCACCGTCCGATCCTCCTGCAGTTTGGCCACCGACTTCTTCTCCACGCCAAGAACCACGCAGTTGGCGCCGCGAACTCCGACCTGCGAGCCAAAGAGTGAAAAAGTCCATGTTTGTTTCGGTTTCGCGGCACTGCGACTACGACTGCATTGTACTTACCGCTGTGGATCCCTTGCGGACGGCCTCCTGGGCGTACTCCACCTGCAGGAGGTGACCGTCGGGCGAGAATATGGTTACAGCTCGATCGTAGCGTGAGGACATCTTGTTGGTTTATTTAATAGCTATGGTACTTGCAATGTATAAACTATAAGTTTCCCTTCTCGAATTCGCCAGGCAATGATGATGCTTTTTTGAGGAAATGCCGCAGTGTGACCGCGCGGGGCATTATAAAAATGACCAAAATAATACCGATTCATGGTGAAAGACATGTCGTGACTATCGTTTGGTAACAATTTAGAAGTTTACATTTCAATCTTGCTACTTGTTAACAAGGGTGTAGGAAAATAGGTATAACTTTGCCTGTTATCCTACTAAACTAAGTTGTTTTTATATTATAAGTTATTATTGTTCTCTTATATGCCAAATATAGTTAAATTGTGATTTAATAATTGTAGCCAACAAATATCACGTTGAATGCACAAAATGCACTCGCTCTCCCGGCCCTAGCAATCGGTGTTCATCGATAGTTTGCTGTAGCCCTCGTCGTCGCTGTAATTACAATGTGATGTGCATTTGTTTTCGTCAATCAGAATCGCCCGATTAAACAGTTAGACTATATGTTTTCAAACAATGCGATCGCGGTGATATCGGCTCGTAAAGGTTTTACACACCGTGTTATTTTGTTTCAGTGCGTTTTGTTGTTCGTTTCGTAAATAAGTGGAATTTTGACTAAAAAAGACGGGAGGCCAGACAGCTGATCACAGACTTTGGCTCACACCTGCTACAAAAAGATAATAATTATTCAAAAACCTGGCATTCGGGGCGAATTTAGCAGCTGCCAGCGTATTTATATAACAACAATTTGATTGATTATGGCGCTGCCCAGAAAACTGATATCGAAGATCTGTAAGTAAACCGAATGTTCGAAAGTACCGTTGTATATTCCCACACACGCACGTACAAATAAGACTGCGTGTGCATGTGTGTGCGTGTTGGAATACTATCATAAATTCTAGTGTTGCATGCAACTTCTGCAACTATTAAAACATTACCACGCTTTTCTATAAACAACGCTAAATCCAATCGGAAAATCCTTATATGCACATATCTTTGTATGTAAATATATACATAAAGTGCAGCTGCAGGCGACTGGTTCGTTTTAAAGTAATATAATATCGCTTTACAACGCTATATCAATATCAATTAAAGGCTTTTTACGGCTTCTCCATACTCCATAATATTTCTATTTTTTATAACTCTTCAAAATGAACATAAAAACAAAACTTAACATATTCAATCTTAAGAACTGTAACAGTTCAGAAACGTTCGATACATATTTACATACATATGTAAGTACATACATACATATGAATGTACTCAGATTGGTCTTATCAATTTTGTTTGTTTTTCAAATTACTTTTAATCTGTGTCATTTATAAATGTGGATAACGTATAATGTATTTAGAATATACTGACACAGTTTTCTGTATAAATGTTGTAAAAACAATCATCTTTAAATTATATTTACTTACATTTAGATTAAATTTTGTTATATATAAAAGAACGTGCGTTTTTCTTTCGATTTGGAAATATTCTGAAGTATCATATCATATGAATCATATCATGAAAACTTGGCAAAAAACACTAACCAATTCTCATTCCTTGCAGACGATATAAAGGCACACGATAGCAGGGTCACGAGCCTTGATCTTGGCGAAACTGGACGAGTGCTGGTCACCGGAGGAGAGGATCGCAATGTGAACCTTTGGGCAATTGGCCAGAATGAGTGTTTTATGGTGAGTTTAACCTGACTACTTCCTACGTATTAATCTGTGACCCTTACCTTTCCAGTCTCTGACGGGTCACAATCGCTCCATCGATTGCGTTCGTTTTGCTTATAAGGATAACTTTGTCTACTCCGCCGACGACATCGGTATAATCCGAAGATGGGATCTGAATTCACAGAAAATCTACTCCACGTTAAATGGCCACATGAAGAGTGTTCGCACTCTGGACTTTAACCCATCCGGAGAATATGTGGTGTCCGGAAGCAATGATACCACCGTCAGGTGAGCCAAGACTCGATATAAATAATGCGAGTCACCCATGAGTCAACCTCTAGTTTCCTTATTAACTGCAGACTGAAAGTGTATCTCTCGTAGATTGAAAAGAGATGGCGATATTCTCTTTCCCTCTTTAAGCTGTGCTTAATCCTACAGAGAGAAACGAAAGATCTTAGGGTGGTTGCCGTATTTATTTATATATATCGGAATAATGCACAGATCTATCAGTAGTCTTTTCTCCTGACAGATCTCACTTGATCTATATGTGTACATGATATGACTCACTACAATGCACAAAAACAGACAGACTGAGAAAGATAATATCCCATAGTGAGGTTTAGATTCAGTTTATTTTCTTTATGGGGTCTTAGTTATCTTATCTCTTCAGATCTATTTTCTCCATGGTCTAAAACAACATTTCTTTGTCAGTTACTTGATGTTTTATTGGGAGTTCTATAAAAGTGTAAGAAAAAAATACTTCTACCACCATGGGTGCTTAAACAATTGCATATGTACAGGCATATTTGTTATACGTATGTATGTACAAAGTAAACGGACGCGAAACGAATTATAAAGTCAATGATGATCCTTCGCGACTAAGGCAGACTGTGTCTCTAAGTGATCAGCTTACAGCTTGGCCTGTGAGCTCTTCAGGTCGACGTAGGCGCCGGAAATGACCTCCTTGCCAGTCTCCACGACCACGGTGCGGAAGTTGATGCGTGTGCCCTGCTTCCACATGTCCACGCGCAAGCTCTGTCCCGGAATCACGGGTCCGGAGAAACGTACTTTGACAGCCTTGAACA